TTAAATGGCTTCAACTATCACTGTGCGTAATAAAATTAGATATTCTTTTCTTATCATATCAGATTTCACATTCTTTTCTTGTACATATATCCGCATTACTTTTACTATTGGAGAGAGTAGCTATTTTTTGAAAGAATATTAACAAATGAGATAACCGTTAAAGGCTAACATAACTCTTCATTTTTGCAAAAACTGTATTTTATTTTAAAAAATTTCACCGAATAAAACTGTTTTCTCCCGACGACTGTCGAAAGATTCTTCACCTCTGACTAACCAGGGAACCTCTCCAAATGTCCTCTCCTTTTTTTTAACAAAATCTAGTAGGTTATAGGTAATCGACCATGCTGATTTCGAATATGATATTCATTTGGGCCCACAGGTCTTTCCTAGCCGGTTTTTGAAAAACTGATGTTCCAGAAACCGGCTAGGAAAGGCCTGTAGACCCAAATGAATATCATATTCGAAATCAGCATGGTCGATTACCTATAACCTACTAGATTTTGTTGTAAAAACGATCTGTATTGCCTACCGATCTCATTTCATAGGAAACAGCTAATTTATTTAATACGTTAGGAAATGGATCAATAGGTGAGTAAGAAGAGTGAATAAAAATATGTTTAACAATTGTTTTCTATTTTGTAGATGAGAAATTAAAACGTTTATTAACAGAAAAACGTGATACATTTGATCAAATAGTTAAATTAAAATCTGAATTAGAAAATGACGATTGAGAATTTTAGAAAAACAATCGTAAAAGTCTATATTAGATGAAATATTCTATTTTTGCCTATTTTCACAGAAACTTAGAAAATTCATAAATTAGTCAAAATTGACTCAAACTATGCCAAAATATCAGGATACAAATTGTGTCTTTTATTTCACAATTATGTATGTATATCTCTCTATATATAGTTATCAAGTTTATTTATTCAGTGTATGTATGTAAAACAAAACAAAAAATGAACAAAACCGAAAAAAAGAATTTTTTGTTGTTGTTGTTATTTTATTACAATACTGCCGTGGTATACAATTTAAAAGACAAAAACAGAAGAAAAAAGTAGTCGAAAAAACTGAATTAACTTTCAAGCTTAGAAATTGATATGCAGGATTAGACGAAAGCAAATGTAAAACAAAGAAAAAAGATAAAATCAAACAAATAAAGCTATTCGTGTAAAATCGCCTATATATTTTTATAAAAGAAAAACAAATCGAAGAAAAACAAAAAAAATTAGCAACTAAATAAATACTTCGCAAAGCAACAACATCAAAACGAAAAAAAAAAAAAGAAAGCATAATCAAAAAATGTTATCATTCAAAATAAAGAGGGAAAGAATAAATAAGATCAGAAGAAGAAAAAAAAAAATCAACAACAACAGTACGCTTAGCGTTTTAATCACAACATGGATTTTTTTGTTGCTGTTGTTTATTCTGTGTATATATTGAGAAAGCGGACGGTGAAGAATCGAAAGAAAACAAAAAACGGGATGAAAAAAAAAACAGAAAACCATTGACTGATTTAAAAAAGAAACAACAACAGAAGAGAAAAAAAATGATGTGGTCAACTTTCAAACCAAGAAGAAAAGGATGACATAAGCAAAAGCGAACGAAAGAGCTGAATCTACTTAAAGAAGTAGAATACATGAAAACTTCAAACTTTCTTTGATTCATTAGTAAAATGTTGTTTTTATTTTATGTAATTAGAAAAATAGTCAAAAGATAAAAATTGAGAAAAGTATGAAATAGTCTCAAAAAATTCTTTTTCAAACTATCATCACAGATTTGCTCGAATTTTTTGATAATATTTTTTTTTGTTGTTGTTGTTTTTATTAACGTTACCTTAACTCTTGCACTAAAACAGTCGTACAAATAGAAAAGAAACAAAATAATAAACAAACAAACAAAGAAGTATTCTCGTTGAGCTCTATCGATCAAAAAATATTATTCGAATTGTAAGTTGATTTGGTCATTGTTATACTCTCTGTCATATTATTTTCTGGTGTATGATGATTGTTATTATTATTATTATTATTATTGTATTCTTGATAAAGTAGTGGAGAACTCGTTTGTGAACGAATTGAATTTATATCATTTGTATTTAATAAATTTTTTTTACGTATAGTTCGTAAACGTTCATTTTCTTTTTGTAATAAATCATTTCGAATTTTTTCACTATCAAAATCATCACGTACGACGCGTAACTAAAATAAATAAAACAAATAAATTAGTAAACAAATGAATTACAAAAATATATTAACGGATCAATCGTATAATTTATCATTATAGAAATAGAACATTCTCATTTTATATTTCATGCTCTCATTAAAAAACCAAAATAAAAAGTCACACACACACACACACATTCGGTTTCTTCTCGGTGCAAACTGTGTCATGAAAATAGAATTTAACATAAAGCAAATATGTACGTGCATTCAAAAACAAAAACAAAAACAAAACGAAAGAAACACTCAGAAAGAAGATGAGACATATTTCGCTGATATAAATGACAAAAGAAAAAGATAAATATATGTTGGAAATCTGGTCATTTAAAAGATATGAGTGAAACATTTTTTGTTTTTTTATCAACTAGACATTATAAACACACGATTTGGTTGTCATTGTTCATGCATACCAGCCAAAAAACGTAAGTCCGTAACGGTTTGTGGAAGTCATAGTTGTTCAACCGAGCAATGTACAGAATTGAAGAACGTCTTATTTTGTAGCTGAAAGATTTTTCTTCCAAATAGTAATTAAGCAAAGTCTAGCGCTACCCTAAACAAAAATACTTATAATTCGTGATCATAAAGCCATTTTGTACGAAAGTGGCGTATACCAAAAACATTATGTTACTTAAATCAATCAACTGTTAGATTTTGCTTAATTATCATGTGAAAGTAAAATCGTTCAGCTACAAAATAAGATGTTCCGCAACTCTGTACGTTGCTCACGAGGAAACCTATCCTAGTGATATCTTCTGATTTCGTTCGTTCATACGTCGATCGATAGAGAGTAGTGAGCTAGTAAAAAGCCAACAATGATTTTTCCCCACGATTCTTCAAGACCCGATTTTCTGGAAAAACAGTTTTTCAGAAACTCTAAAAGATAACCAAAACCTTTCTTAATGAGACATAATTGTAGTCTGCAAATTTCTGATTAAAATGAGACATCTCCCAGCTCTACACGATCTTTCTTTGCAAAGTTATAGAATTGACAAGAAAAGCCCTAAATTCATTTTTTCCTTCTTATTTCTGTAGTTTTGAACTGATAATGAACACTTAGGGTTTTTCTTGTCAATTCTATAACTTTGCAAAGAAAGGTTGTGTAGAGCTGAGAAATGTCTCATTTTAATCAGAAATTTGCGGACTCCAATCATGCCTCATTAAAAGAAGATTTTGGGTACTTTTTAGAGTTTCTGAAAAACTGTTTTTCCAGAAAACCGGGTCTTCAAAAGTCATGGAGAAAAATCTTTTTAGACTTTTTACTAGTTCGATACTCTCTATCGATCAACGTATGAACGAACGAAATCAGAAGGTATCACTTGGATAGATTTCCTTGTCAGCGGAAGAACTGTGACTTACACAAAACGTTACGGGCTTTTACGTGGATAAGCCCTCATTCTCTTTCACAAGTAAATTATACACAATGTCGAGAATATCTGCTATTGAACTCTTATAGAGAAAATTAAAATAATTTTTTCTTTTAGAATTTTTCACAATTATTAATAACTCGTGTGTGGATTGTAGGTGTGTATAACTAATATTTTATGCACATCATGCATTATAAAAAACAAAATAAAAAATGAAAAGCGTAGCATTATTCTCATGCGCTATATATATCTTCTTTTTTATTTCATGCTGCTTGGGGAAAGTGTTTCACACATCGAATATTGGCACTCTCAATCATGATGATGTGCATTGCGTGCATGAATTTGAAACTAAACTACCTGTCGATGATGATGATGATGACCATCGATCGGGTCCTCTTCTACTGTTAGTCAAACTTATTTTATTACCATCATTAGACGAATCACGTCTAAGAGAATTAGTATTACTATTATTACTATTATTATTTTGCCAACGTTCAGTAGAATAATCTCGTGATATACGTCTTGCTACTGACGGTTCTCTTGGAGTATATGGTGGAGGTAATAGTTCTCTTTCCACAGATGTAAAACGTGACATTGATTGACGTCTTGATGTAGGTGCCAAATATGAAGAAGGTGAACTATTACTACCTGATGAATATGTATTAGTTAATATTCTTGATGTATTAGCACTAGGTGGTATAGTAGATGATGTATTTATATTTCGTCGTATAAATTCCATACTATCAATACGATCTTGTAAACGACGAATTTCTAATAAACTATCGTCATATTTTGTTTTTATTTCACGATGCTACATGAGGAAGAGAGAGAGAGAGTAGCAAAAGAAATTACATTGTATTTCGCATACAAAAGAAATGAAGCATATTATTATCGCGCATAAAAAAATGATATTCTCACATTCTCACTTTGTTGTTATTGTTATTGTTTATTCTTTTATGAACAACAACAAGTCTAGACATAATAATATATTCTTCTTTTTTTTTTTTTCTTGACTATTAAAAATTTTGAAGAAATTTCATAGATAAGAAAAAAAACAATACATACTTCTTTTTGTAAACC